CCATTTCTTTCTGCAGTAGACCGGTTGCCATCTAAGGTTATAGAACCCGGACTGTCATGCTATTTACCCATAACTGGGGGAGGGAGAAGAAAAAGAGGATTCATACCTTTCCCAAGAATATTAGCACGTAAGTGAATGTAATGGATTCGACTGGAATTCGAACTCGACTCTCCGATTCCTCAATCCATTGCTCCACCATGCCTCTACTTTAAAGTACTTTTATTAAATCATTTCGAATTAATGCAGTTACTGATATAACAGAAGTAGTCTGTATTCATTCAATACGAAGTCAGCCGTGGATATGAAGGGGGGTAAAACAGGCAACATGGAGACCCAATACAGACCACAATTAGTTTGGAGATTTTGAAATTCAGTCTGTTCTGTCAGTGTGCTATCAGGGAAGTAAAAGAGGATAGATTTTATAAAGCAATTGCTAAATTTGACGAAAATTGATTGAAAGATCAACGAAAAATAAGAAAGCTATTTATGCGGGTTTTCACGATATGGGTGGACTCAATTATCAAGTTAAATGACTATTAAAAAATTAACTTATTGTTGGCTACAATTGAGTGAAGTTTGTATTACATTGCTTCAAATTTGAGTGAGTTTTTAGTTTAAAATTTGTGTGGAAATTGATTTGTGTTGAAATCCATTTTTGGTTTTTCGCGGTTTTTCGCTAAACACAGTGGCAGATAAATAAATATGAGATATCGTTGAGCTCGTCATAATGTAAGTAACCTACATACCAAGTATGAACGAAATCGGAGGAAAAAGTTGAATTTATCGATTTTTGATCGGCTTTATCGATTATCGATTTTTTTTAAAATATTGATTTTTTACGCTAAAAAGCTATCTCTTACATTGTACAATATATGTGCCAAGTTTGGTTAAAATCGGTTTGATGGATCTCGAGTGAAAAGGTATCACACAGACAGACAGACGGACAGACAAGCACGTAGTTACACAGTCATCATCTCTTTTATATATATATATAGATAGATATTTACAATTAATTATTTGGAGGTTTTATAATTATTTTAAGATTTTATTACGCAGCATGAGGATTGCTGATCATATTGTAATAAATAGATAGTATATTTATTGATATATTTATTTTCATTTCAAATATATACAGTTAGACCCAATGATTGCGCTAGAAAATCAGTCCTTACGGGCTTAGAAGGCAAAAGTGGGGCGGTGGAATAATGTTTCGCGTTAATATTATTGGTAGTAAAATTATAGATAAAGGCTGATGTTGGTGTCAAGATAGATGCAGAGGATTGTTGTAAGTTCTTGGCAAAGTCGGTTTGTTTTTTTTGAGTGGCACAGGTCACAATCAAGAAGCTTTTTGCTAAAAAGCATATCTATAAAAGAACGTTCCTTCACATTCTGCAAGTCTGACTCTTGTCCTCCTTATTAAAAATGGATTCATGAAAGACATCAAATTATAGAATGGTCCCCATCTTCATCCAGGTATTAATCGATGGAACTAATGGATGGGTAGAAATATATTCATGCAAGACAATGTTCCTTCACATTCTGCAAGTCTGACTCTTGTCCTCCTTAAAGACACCAAATTATAGAATGGTCCCCATCTTCATTCAGGTATTAATGGATGGAACTGGTGGATGGGTAAAAATATATTCATGCAAGACAATGTTCCTTCACATTCTGCAAGTCTGATTGTTGCCCTCCTTATTAAAAACGGTTTCATGAAAGACATCAAATTATAGAATGGTCCCCATCTTCATCCAGGTATTAATCGATGGAACTAATGGATGGGTAGAAATATATTCATGCAAGACAATGTTCCTTCACATTCTGCAAGTCTGACTGTTGCCCTCCTTATTAAAAACGGTTTCATGAAAGACATCAAATTATAGAATGGTCCCCATCTTCATTCAGGTATTAATGGATGGAACTGATGGATGGGTAAAAATATATTCATGCAAGACAATGTTCCTTCAAATTTTGCAAATCTGACTATTGTTCTCCTTAAAGACACCAAATTATAGAATGGTCCCCATCTTCATCCAGGTATTAATGGATGGAACTGATGGATGGAACTGATGGATGGGTAAAAATATATTCATGCAAGACAATGTTACTTCACATTATGTAACTTTGAATGTTGTCCTCCGTATTGAAAACGGTTTTATGAAAGATACTAAATTATAGAATGGTCCCCAACTTCATCCAGGTATTGATCCAAGAGAAAATGTGTGATCCATCATTAAATGAGACATATACGAGAATTGAAAACAATATTCAAGTAAAGAAGATTGCCGGTATGTAATACAAGTGACTACAAGTAATGTTCAAATGGAAACAAATGGAAAAATTAACAAAATCAATGGTAGAAAAACTGATGAAGGTTATAGAATGTAAGTCTATAATAACATGTAAAATAATAATTTACTCAGCTATACAAAGGCTAATCAAAAAAGTATCGGGACTGGTGTTATAAAAAAAACTGCAACGCATATCAATGCAGCATTTA